ACTGATACAATTGCAGTGGCAGAGATTCCTCACCTAGTCAGGAGACTACTCATAAGTCTTTTCTTCGCCAAACAGGCCAAAAACATGACTCTGGATAAGTGATATGACTACCAGCATCACAAAAAGGCTCACTGAGAGCTTGCAGGGATGTCATCATCCGGTTCCAACACGGCCTGGACAGGCAAGCTCTTATGACAGCGGTTTACAATAAAATACCGTACCATCTTGAGGAACAACAACCCAGTTCTACCCAGACGTGTCCAATGCCACAATGAACTGGAGGAGGTCCTGCCACCATTAACCGCTGAACTTACCAAGCATCGAGTTCCTTATCGATGGGGATCCTCAGAGGCCTCTCAATACCCTGTGAGTCTGGGACTTTAAAAGTTTCTAAACATCTGAAATTGCCTGCACCCTCCTAAAACTGGGGCTAACTTGCAACGTTGACCCGCGCTCCCCAGCAAACCCACCGCAACCTACTACCTGGGACCCAGCACGGGTTCATCTGTTTATACTGGCCGCTCAACGGGGTGACACAGCCTCCACAACTATACCTTGAACACACCAGCTCTTATATCACTGTTCATTTTGTCTGTATATTATGAGAACATGTCAAACAAAATGAACAGTGATATAAGAGCTGGGGTGTTCAAAGTATCGTTGTGGAGGTATACACAGTTTTCATGCAGTTAGTCTTACTTTCATTTCAACACCTTACATGCTCCACAATGTGTGTCCTTAGGGATGCATCCCATTCTACCATTACATGCTTGCAATAGGAATTTGAGCCTCTCTATTCACCCCCCCCCCCCCACTTACTTCAGTTACAATAATCTTGAGCCCCGTCTGAGGTGGTGGGTGTCAGCCTCTTGTCCCATTATCTGGACGTACACCCCATTTTATTAACTAGTATGATAAGAGGCCCACAGCCTTTGCTACTCCAGCAAAACTTACATTCTCTTTTAAGCTATATTCCTCAGGACACTCCTTTTACTCTTTATTTTCTTTTTAATTTCACAATTAATGTCTACATAGCACCACGGGCAGAAGGCTCACGTAGTAAGTACAATGGGCATTTGGGTCAAAGGGTATTAAATTGATTCGGTCAACTCATTTTACACAACCAGCCCTTGATTGCCCTTACATCCTGCATGCTCATGCTTCATATTTACCACGTAGTTAGACACGATGAACCAGCTTGACATATAACTGTTTCTTCTTTCTTTCATAAAATTGTGCCAGCACATTCATTGCCACAACAATGTATTATCGTGTTTATTCCCAAATGCTCTCCACTGCTGTTGGGTCTTTGCAAGCCTGTTTGTATTCTTTTGCACACAAAAATAAAGATTTAAAAAAATACTAGCAGAATCTTTGCAAAATGCTCTTGAACAGGATATTGCGTCTATTCTACTACTATATATTGTAAAATTATACCTACCTCTAATATCATAATACCTCTAAATTATTTAAACCTATTAGACGTTTTGCAGGACAAGAAATATGGTGTCAGTTTGTATATTTTATACTACAATATTTATGCAAAGAATGGCTAAATAATTTAAAAATAAAAAATAACTTATGTAAATGTACTATTTTATGATATCCCAGAAAAAGCAATCTATACAATTTGTGTTGTGTCCTTTGTGTACTAGCTATACATTCATACATCGCTCAGATAAATGTCAGTTTTATTTATTTATTTTTTCAACGGAGGGTTAACAAGTTTTCCACAAGATGATTTAGCTGCGTTGATGATGCAAATAAATAGTGAATTGATAAAATGCCAATTGAATGCTACAGAAGTCTTTTGTCTACTGAGGGTTTTGGAACAAATGGAATGAGCAATCAGATGAAGTCTAAAATAGATAAATGTAAGCTTGCGAATGTGTGGTGTATAGTTACGCATGTCAAGTATACACTAAATTGCACAATAATAGGAGAACCATTGATGGGGAAATATTTAAGTGTTCTTGTTGATAATAGACTCCAGAACAGTGCTCAAAACGCAATCAATACCCAGCTGTGAGGTTTTAGAGGGAAATAAAAATATATTTCTGCTTCAAAAATAACAAACTCTTTCCCTAATAATGGTAATATCAAGTTATGAAAAAAAATACATGAACAATTCTAACTGATGAAAAAAAGACATGTATTATAGCTATAGATTTTATTTAAATATTTAACTGCAAATGGTTTATCTTATTGTATTGCATAGATTTAAAAAAAAGGACAATAGATTTTTACCTTTTTCATATTTCCCCGGTAAGAATATTAAGTTGCATTTGGAACCATTTATAATAAAAGACGTTACATAACTGAAAATGGCTCACTTAGGACAAACATAATTAATGAATTGAATGAAAGATTTTAGTTTTGAAAATTGGATTTGTTCACAAAAGAAAAGTGCTACCTCTGTTACAATGATTAATTTATTTAAAATTCAAGGTGAAGAGCTTCAAGAGATTTATTTTTTGCACTCCAATGACTGTCCTAGTTATGAATTTTTAAAATAGAGGGTATGACTGAATATATAGATTAAGGGTGCTATAGTTATGATATTTATAATTAAGTTCCAGTACTTGTGAAATGCGTCAGACAGGTGCTATATTCTATTTATCTTCCTGAATACTGTTTTCATCATCACTGTATAGAATAAAGTATTATTCACTTAGTTTTTTTTGTTAACAATCTATACAACATGTATCCAATAAATTAAAGTGCAACTCCAAAAACAACAACAACAATAATATTAATAATAATAGGAATTAAATGGAGGGGGCTGGTGATAGGAGAATTTAAAGTAAATGATAAAGAAGAAAAATAAGGGTGTAGATATTTTTGATGTAAAGAAAAAGGTTGTGCATATAAAGTGTGCAGACCATTTGGTGGTGCAGATCTGGTCATTTACCACTGCCAAATTCTCCTGAATCAAAATATGCAAAGACCCCATAAGGTGACAAAGCTGCTTTAAAATAAAAAGAACAACAACAAAAAGATAACTTGGTATACCCTCCCCTTCTAACCCTGCCTAGACTTTCTGTGACTGTCCAATCACAGACTTCCCAATGCAGCTCAATGAGAAGTCTTTGCAAAGCAGGTGCTCTGAGCAATAGCTGTCTCTTGTGTTTAGCTCTATTTAGCTAACCAAACCAGGAAATAGCAGGAACAATCATCAGACTGACAGTAAGGGGGTGTCATTTTATTTTTCTATTAAAATCTGAACTTTTTGTAAAATGATAAAAAAGAAGTCTCACTCTTCCCATATAAAGCCCTTCAGCAAACTTAAAGTGCTTTAAGTGTCTAATGTGTTACTTTAGTATTACTGTTAGATTGCAGAGGGTGCTTAAATGGACATTATAGGCCTAAACCACTTAATCTCATTGATTTTAAAGTAATGGCAATGTTTACATTATTGGGTTAAGACAACCTCTATTGGCTGTTTGGAAGGCAGTCACAAGTGACGCTTCCTGGTGCCTGACAGTGTGGCGTAGGACATCCCCACACTTTACATAAGAACATCCAACATTTTCAAAATACCCATAGGAAAACAGTGACTCAATGCTCTCCTATGGGGAAGCTCTAATGTGCGATGGGTGTTAGGTTCCCACATTGTGTTGGTGGAGGAGGAAACCGATCCAGCTGGAAGGAGGTAAGTGAATGAAAGAGTTTTCAGCTCTTTAGATGGGGGACATGGGGAGTATGGGGAACCTAAATAAATATGCAGAGGGATAATATTGCATTAGTATAGGGATAATTAATTGTCATCTGCTGTGTGTATAGTAGATTAATAGTCATATATTCTGATATTATATATTGGACAGTTTTGTATCCCCAACGTGTTCCTTTGATGTTAAGAAGATTAAAAGCTTGAGATGGGTTATAGTTGTGGTATACGGTTAGAGTAGAGTTAAGTTTAGTATTGTGATGTTTTTAAAGTGGTACTGTCACCTCCCTCCCCTTTCCTCCCCCAAAAAATTTAGCATTTCATAAAGATAGAACCTTTATGAAATACTAATTTTGACTGTGTTGGAGTGTCACCATATTCATTTCAATTAAGTCATAATGGTGCCAAGGGTACCCCTTGAAAGGAACATTATAGCGTTGGGAATACAAACCTGCATAAAGTCACCCCTTCTGCTAAGATTTAATAAAAATAAAGGATTTTATTTACCTTTTTCTAGTGCCAAGGCTTAACTCTCCTTTTCCCACTACGTCCTGGAGGAGGCATGATCCAAGGCTCCTCATACAGTGCCGCACACGCTTCCAAGCTTCCCTATAGCAAATCTTTGAATCAATGCTTTCTCATGGGGGGCTTCCGTGTCACGTGACCGAGTTTTACTCTGTCATTTCTAAGGAATACCACCAGAGGTGGATTTAGCCCTGCGGTGTAAACATTGCAGTTTCTAAAAACACAGAGATGAAGATGCTGCGCAGTCCAGCGCTGGAGAAAGGTAAGTGCTGAAGACACACACACTCTCACGAACAGACGCATACACACTAGCTAACAGACACACATATTTACTGACAGAGACACACTCAGCGACATACATACACACACTCACTGGCAAACACACACTCACTAACATACATCAAACAGACTCACTAACAGACACACACAAACACACTCAGTAACAGACACACACAGTAACACACTCACTGACACTCACTAGCAGACACACACTCAATAACAGACACACTCACTGACACTCACTAGCAGACACACATTCAATAACAGACACTCACTGACACTCACTAGCAAACACACACTAGCAGACACACACACTAACACACACACACTAACACACACACACTAACACACACACTAACATACACACACACTTAAAAAAAAAATAATAATCCCCCAGCCTCCTTACCTTTTGGAGTGCTGAGGGGATTCCCTGGGGTCCAGTGGTGCTGCTGGGCTCCTGGGCGGCCAGTCACGGGCAGGCAGGCAGGCTGGCGGGCGCGCGTGTGAGCACTCTCCCCTGTGTGCTTCCTCTTCAGCTCCCTCGCGCGCCGCGTACTGATACCGGAGCCGGAGGATGACGTCATCTTCCGGCTCCGGTATCAGTGCGGTGCGCGAGGGAGCTGAAGAGGAAGCACTCAGGGGACAGTGCTCCCTCGCGCGCCCGCCAGCCCGGTGATACCAGGGCCAGCCTCGGGGGGCCCTGAGGTGGCCGGCTCCTGGGCCCCACAGGAGAAGAGGCTGGCCACAGTGGGTACATACCGGATCGCACTGTACGCCACTGCACCCACTGTACACAGCACTGTAATGGTGTGCGCCAGTATAAATAATGCTGTGAACATGATGTGCTCTTATGAGTGCAGCACCATTATGTCAGCAAGTTGGATCTCTACATTTTTAACTCTTATTTTAAGGGAAATACTTTTTCTTAGGTGAATCAGAATATCTGGTCAAGATATGTTCCACTGTTGGCCCTGATTTGCCAAACTTGATGGCTGATGTTTGACTTATGTTACATTAACATTCTCAAAAACATTTGCACTTCTTTTATTTATTATTCTACTTGTGTCACAGTTACCTAAACATGTCTATTACATTACTTTGCAAAAGTGTCAAATTAAAGGACCACTATAGTGCCAGGAAAACATACTCGTTTTCCTGGCACTATAGTGCCCTGAGGGTGCCCCCACCCTCAGGGTCCCCCTCCCGCCCAGCTCTGGAAGGGGGAAAGGGGTAAAAACGTACCTTTTTCCAGCACTGGGCGGGGAGCTCTCTGCCTCCGATCCTCCTCTGTTCCGCCCTGTTTCGTTTCTCTGAAACTGCTATGTTTATGAAAAAATGGGTTAACCCTAGCTGGACCTGGCACCCAGACCACTTCATTAAGCTGAAGTGGTCTGGGTGCCTAGAGTGGTCCTTTAATTTTCCAGCTTACCCTCTAAGCATGGTAGCCCTAATACAGATCGTTGTTGATCCTTCTGTGATCTTATATATTAGTGCACAACATCAAGCGCACAAGGAGAGATTGGTTAAACTAAGCAGTCACATAGCAACAAGTAGCAGATGAAGCTCCACACAAATGAGCTGCCCAAAAATTAACCTGAACTTCATATAGCACTACCTGAAGCGATAAACAGAAGACAGGACTCATATTATTTGTTATAAACTAATCTGCTTGCCCTGGCCAATTAGCTAATGAAAATGCCCTTCAGGCTTTTTGCAGTAAACACTGTCTTTTCAGAGAAAATGCAGTGTTTACATTACAGCCTAGTGATAACTTCACTGGCCACTCCTCAGATGGCTGCAAGAGATGCTTCCTGGGTGTCATTCAGTGTCTCCACCCTCTGCATGGACACACTGAACTTTCCTCATAGCGCTGCATTGATTCAGTGCATAACAACAAGGAGATGCTAATTGGCCAAGGCTGTGTTTGTCTTGTGCTGGCTCTGCCCCTGATTTACATCCTTGACTAGCTCAGCCAATCCAATGCTTTCCTATTGGTGGTTGGCTGAGATCATCATTTTTGATTATGTCAAAAAGGCTGGTCAGGGGCAGATCAAGCAGTAGCAGACTGGAATAAATGTAAGATTTTACTATATTTAGAGGGGCAAGTGGGGGAAGCAGGGGGCCAGATAGTAGTTTTAACACTATTGGGGTCAGGAATACATGTTTGTGTTTCTGAACATATAGCGTTCCTTTAATGGTTGTAATAGTGCGTGGCAAACTTGAGGTGTGTATAAATGTTCCTTTAATGGTTGCAATAGTGTGTGGCAAACTGAGGTGTGTATGAATGAGGGAATAAGACTGAGTGAGGGTGGTTGTATGTGTGAATTGTAACAGATGAATAAGAATACTTCTTGGATATCACTGATGATACACAAATGAGGAGATTGGATATGGTTGACGTTACATGAGTGGAGGTGGTTTATGGATATGTTGATAAAACTAACAGAGTGACGATGCCTAGTAGATACATTAATAGTATAACAATAAAGGTAACTGGTTGCATGACCGAGAGTGTAACAGTGATGGTGGTTGGGTATAATATTGAGAGTATAACAGTGAACATGCTTAGGTGTATGACTAAACGTATATCAGTGGGTGTATTGTTGGGTGTATATTTGAAAGTGTAACAGCAAGGGTGGTTGGGTGTAAGATTGAGACTGTAGCAGTAAGTATGGTTGGGTGTATGACTGAGAGTATACACAGTAAGTATGGTTGAATGTATGAATGAGTATATAACAGTGAGTATAGTTGGGTGTATGTTGCAGAGTATAACAGTGAGTATGGCTGGGTGAATGACTGAGAGTATAACAGTATGTATGGTTGGGTGTATGACTGAAACTATAACAATGAGTATGGTTCAGTGAAAGACTGAGAGTATAGCAGTAAGCATGGTTGGTTGTATGACTATGAGTTTACCAGTAAGTATGGTTGGTTGTATGAATGAGAGTATAGCAGTAAGTATGGTTGGTTGTATGAATGAGAGTATAAAAGTAAGTATGGCTGGGTGAATGACTGAGAGTATAACAGTATGTATGGTTGGGTGTATGACTGAAACTATAACAATGAGTATGGTTCAGTGAAAGACTGAGAGTATAGCAGTAAGCATGGTTGGTTGTATGACTATGAGTTTACCAGTAAGTATGGTTGGTTGTATGAATGAGAGTATAGCAGTAAGTATGGTTGGTTGTATGAATGAGAGTATAAAAGTAAGTATGGCTGGGTGAATGACTGAGAGTATAACAGTATGTATGGTTGGGTGTATGACTGAAACTATAACAATGAGTATGGTTCAGTGAAAGACTGAGAGTATAGCAGTAAGCATGGTTGGTTGTATGACTATGAGTGTACCAGTAAGTATGGTTGGTTGTATGAATGAGAGTATAGCAGTAAGTATGGTTCGTTGTATGACTGAGAGTATAAAAGTGTGTATGGTTAGGTGTATGACAGAGAGTATACCAGTAAGTATGGTTGGGTGCATGACTGAGAGTATAACAATAAGTATAGTTGAGTGTATGACTGAGTATATAACAGTGGGTAAGGTTGGGTGTATGTTGCAGAATATAACAATGAGTATGGCTAGGTGAATGACTGAGAGTATAACAGTAAGTATGGTTGGTTGTATGACTATGAGTGTACCAGTAAGTATGGTTGGTTGTATGACTATGAGTGTACCAGTAAGTATGGCTGAGTGTATGACTAATAGTATATCAGTACGTATGGTTGGGTGTATGACAGAGAGTGTACCAGTAAGTATGGGTGGGTGTATGACTAAGAGTGTACCAGTAAGTATGGTTGGTTGAATGAATGAGAGTATAGCAGTAAGTATGGTTCGTTGTATGACTGAGAGTGTAAAAGTGAGTATGGTTAGGTGTATGACAGAGAGTGTACCAGTAAGTCTGGTTGAGTGTATGACTGAGTATATAAAAGTGAGTATGGTTAGGTGAATGACTGAGAGTATAACAGTAAGTATGGTTGGGTGTATGACTGAGAGTGTAACAGTAAGTATGGTTGGTTGTATGACTATGAGTGTACCAGTAAGTATGGTTGAGTGTATGACTAAGAGTATAACAGTAAGTATGGTTGGTTGTATGACAGAGAGTGTACCAGTAAGTATGGGTGGATGTATGACTAAGAGTGTACCAATAAGTATGGTTAGTTGTATGAATGAGAGTATAGCAGTAAGTATGGTTTGTTGTATGACTGAGAGTGTAAAAGTGAGTATGGTTAAGTGTATGACAGAGAGTGTACCAGTAAGTATGGTTTAGTGTATGACTGAGTATATAACAGTGAGTATGGTTGGGTGTATGTTGCAGAGTATAACAGTGAGTATGGCTAGGTGAATGACTGAGAGTATAACAGTATGTATGGTTGGGTGTATGACTGAGAGTATAATAGTAAGTATGGTTGGTTGTATGACTATGAGTGTATCAGTAAGTATGGTTGAGTGTATGACTAAGAGTATAACAGTACGTATGGTTGGGTGTATGACAGAGAGTGTACCAGTAAGTATGGTTGGGTGTATGACTAAGAGTGTACCAGTAAGTATGGTTGGTTGTATGAATGAGAATATAACAGTAAGTATGGTTGGGTGTATGACTAAGAGTGTACCAGTAAGTATGGTTGGTTGTATGAATGAGAATATAACAGTAAGTATGGTTGGGTGTATGACAGAGAGTGTACCAGTAAGTATGGGTGGGTGGGTGTATGACTAAGAGTGTACCAGTAAGTATGGTTGGTTGTATGAATGAGAGTATAGCAGTAAGTATGGTTTGTTGTATGACTGAGAGTGTAAAAGTGAGTATGGTTAAGTGTATGACAGAGAGTGTACCAGTAAGTATGGTTGAGTGTATGAATGAGAGTGTACCAGTTAGTATGGTTGGTTGTATGAATGAGAGTATAGGAATAAGTATAGTTGGTTGTATGACTGAGAGTATAAAAGTGAGTATTGTTAGGTATATGACAGTAAGTGTATCAGTAAGTATGGCTGGGTGTATGACTGAGAGTGTAGCCGTGACTATGGTTGGGTGTATGACAGAGTATAAGAGTGAGTATAACCGGGTGTATGACTGAAAGAATAAAGGTGAGTATGGTTGGGTGTATGACTAAGAGTGTACCAGTAAGTATGGTTGGTTGTATGAATGAGAGTATAGCAGTAAGTATGGTTTGTTGTATGACTGAGAGTGTAAAAGTGAGTATGGTTAAGTATATAACAGTGAGTATGGCTTGGTGAATGACTGAGAGTATAACAGTAAGTATGGCTTGGTGAATGACTGAGAGTATAACAGTAAGTATGGTTGGGTGTATGACTAAGAGTGTACCAGTAAGTATAGTTGGTTGTATGAATGAGAGTATAACAGTAAGTATAGTTGGTTGTATGAATGAGAGTATAACAGTAAGTATGGTTGGGTGTATGACAGAGAGTGTACCAGTAAGTATGGGTGGGTGTATGACTAAGAGTGCACCAGTAAGTATGGTTGGTTGTATGACTATGAGTGTACCAGTACGTATGGTTGAGTGTATGACTAAGAGTATAACAGTACGTATGGGTGGGTGTATGACAGAGAGTGTACCAGTAAGTATGGGTGGGTGTATGAATGAGAGTATAGCAGTAAGTATGGTTTGTTGTATGAC